CTGCGCCGTGGCCCCCGCTTCGGCGCAGAGAAGTTCCGATGGGTTCCGGCGCGCCTGAAGATGTCCACCGACGGCGGGCTGGGCGAGGGCGAGCAGGTAGATGCGCCGAAGCGTCTTCGAATGCCGCCCCCAATCCCCGAGCGGCGCCGTCGAGCGAGACCGCGGGAGACCCCAGAGCAAGAGAAGACGCCTCGAAGACACTCGTAAAAGCTTCCTTCGCGGCAGGCCGCAATAAGGCGGACGCGCCAAACACGGCGGCGCGCCCCCCCCCCCTTCCTCCACGAAGAAAGTATAAAGATGCGTCTGCACTCGTCAGAAGATGGAGGCTGTCCAGCCCGCCGGATTGCCTTGCACCCATCAACCAATGGAGGAACTGAGCAATGGCAGAGCACGTGGTCAATTTGCGAGGAACCCTCTGGAGATACAGCATCCATTGGCGCCGTGCCCAATCCTCTGCACGCAACGCGCCCCTCGACGGGAACGTCGAAATATGCATTCGCAATTTCCATGCCACGCGCGACACGACGCCCCAACACGAGCTCCCGGTTCGCCGCCCCATTGACCCCCAGGCTTTGCAGGAAAGACGCGATGTCCAATGCAAAGAAAGTCCCCCCCCGGCCCCTCGGTGCAATTATTTAGCGCTGTAATCTCCCATTGCAACCGCAGTGCTGCGAGGCGCTGTGCTTGATCGTTTTCTGGAGACAACCGCGAAACTCCCGCCCGTCGTTCAGGTCGCGCCCGCCGCGGGGGGCGCAGGCGGTCACGGGCGAAAGCATACCTCCAACGACTTTGATACGGAGCGTCGCCAATCTAGAACTGCGTGCTCTGAAAGCAACAACGGTATTCCGGGCCGACGGGGCCGCGATGAAGCCGCCCCCAGCCACCGATTGTTTGGTTGCCTGCGGCTCCCCAAATAAACAAATCAAGAATCCCCCATTGTCGTCGAACTCTGCCCCGTGTAGTTGCGTCTCCTGGATACAAGGTATGCCCATGCATCTGGGCCCCAGGGCTTGAAACAATTCCACGCGTTTGATGGCAGAATGGCCCCCGGCACCCGCCACGCTCCAAGAGCCAGAGGTTTGCGAGAACGTCGGGGATTGCCCCGACATGTCTGGATATCCTGAGAAGAGGAAGTGCCCTGTGAAACAGCGTCGCCACGGGGCGTTCCCTGTAGAACATCTCCTGGACACGGAGCACATGATGAACTAGCTTTTGAAGTAGTTGAAAAAGATGCACAAGTTGGGGTGGACGCGGAGGTGGCATTGCCCGCCGCGGCGTCCAGTACCAAACGGAGTAGCCGAATATGAAAGGCTCGCGGTCGTGGCATCTTTGCCCATCTCAGGAGCCGAACCCAAAATATGACAAGACGGCAACGAAGATTGGTGTAAGAGGTCTGCAACAGCATCGGCTTGTGCCTGCGGAGACTGGTGCAATCCATGAGGTAGCTGAGGCGGGCTGGTATATTTGCCCAATCCTGCCGTCGTCGCCGGACATACTGATAGGTCAACATCGGTGCCAGTCCCGGCCTCCAGCGGCACCGGTCGTATTTATTTAATGTTTCGCAACTCTTTTGGATTGGCCCTTAGGCCCTCCTTTCAAACCTGTCGTAGCTCTGCTCACCAAGCCGTCACATTTCCTTACCAGTTCTTTCAAGTCGCTGCGTTGGTGGAGTTCTTCCCGGTTTGCCCACTCCTCGGCCCTTTTTCGCTGGAGGTTCGCGCCGTCGGTCGTGACAGCAAGCGCTAACTCACCGCCAACTCGAACCTGACACGGCGATTCGTCTGAAATTTTAAATGTAGGTGGGAGTTCCATTGTGTCCTTCAGCATGCACTTGAGCCCGAAACAAAAGCTCCGAACGGCCCGTTCCAACGGGCGCCGATCACGCGTCGCCCAAATCGTGTCCCCATTGCGCTGTAGTTTTGCGCTCCTGATATCAGGGCCACGGCGGCGTCTCTGTCCAGTGTGGAATCAAATTCATCGTATAATATTATCACCGTGTTGCCATTGATGTTCGCATTGTTTGGGAGTGGGCCAGAGAGACTTGAAAGTTGATCGCGGAGCCACGCCGATGCAGTATTGAATATGGTAAAACCATCCAAATTACCAAAGACACCTGTCAATGCACGCTTCTCATCTCCATCGTGCTTGGAATGCTCAGTACGTTTGCCAGAAGAAACGCACTGTTGCCTTAAGATTTCCATCTCAGATTCCAAATGTTGAATTGTTGCTTGTGCAGCTGTGTCCAATGATGCTTCGGAAGTCCTTGGTGAAGCCGGTCTCGAAGTGTAGTTCGACTCCAACAGTCCGATACGTGCTGTAAGTTTGTCGATGTTCTGCTGCAGCTGCTCGGTGGCTTTGCGAAGGTCCTGTGGAGAAACCCCATGTGTTTTGGATTGCCTAAATATCACTCTTGAGGGGTCCAGGTGGTAGTTCAAGGTTGTTTCGAAAATCTTCGCGGTGAGGGGTTGGTTCGAAGCCTTCTCCATGTACTATTGGAATTGTTGCTGCCGAGCTGCTACTACACCTAGGTATTCCTCCACAGGACGCGGCACCTGAGGAGGACTGCTCCCAGTCCTAACATGTTTGAGCGTGCTTTTGATGGGAGTTCCACCTTCAAAGCTTTCTGGTCGTTTTGCATTCGCCGCCGAAGAAGCTCCGCCCCCGGGATGCTGCAACACGTCCTTGACGGGAGTGCCGGCCCTGCGGGTTGTCATGATTGACGTCCAATGTCAGCACAAGAGGCCGCGAGAGAGAGAGAACAATGAAGGATATGTGAGTGAGGCGGTAGGGAAGTGGATTGTAAGATACTCGGATATGTCGAGCCCACTTGAGCCCTCCTTTGAGCCAAACCTCACTAGAGCCCTCCATCGTGCATTTAGTGCAGCCCCTAAAAAAGGAGGAGACGACGGGTGGAAGGGGGAGGAAGAAGAATGGAGCACGAGAGAAATTAGCAGGAGGGGGCAAGGCGCAGAAAACAAGTAGTAGAACCAGACGGGCAGATCGGGTGGGCAGACCCCTAGCGGGCAAGTCGGGAAGGCGGGCCCAGGCGACCAGGTCGAGCAGGCGGGTTGCTGAAGCGTAGGTCCTGAAAGAATCGCGAGGAAGTCTCGAGCGATAGCGCGAGTCCCAAGTAAATCGTGAGAAAAGCCAAGGCGAGAGCGTGATTCCTGAGCACCGAGGGCGCATCGTCTGAACAAATTGCGAGGGAGTCCCACGCGAGAGCACGATGCGTACATGAGTTGTGCGGAACTCCCGCGCGAGAGCGCGATGTCGGAATAAGCAATGAGGACGTATCAGGCGGGAGCCGTTGTTTTTGTAACTCGGGGGCCCGCCGCCCAGTTTGAGGCTCAAGACTTTCCCTGATCAGAAAACCAGGTGCGAGCCCCGGGGGAAGCACTTCAATTGAAAAAACACCATGGTCACCCGAGGGGGAACAACAATAATTCGTCTTCAGTAATGAGAGTTCAACCACAACAACACCAAAGACATAACAAAAACAAAAGAACTATTACCACACCAACAACGAGAACAACAACAACCACCACCACAACAACAACAACAGCAACAACAACAACAACAACAACAACAACAACAACAACAACAACGATAACAACAACAACAACAACAACAACAACAACAACAACAACAACCACAACGTCAACAGCAACAGCGACGACGACGACAACAGCAACAGCAAACATAGCAACAACAACTCAAACAAACCGAACAACGCAAACAGTAACCAACACAATATCAGCAACAACAACACTGACGACAATAACAACAACAACAACAACAACAACAACAACAACACCAACAACAACAACAACAACAACAACAACAACAACAACAACAACAACAATAGCGAAAGCAGCAGCAACAACAACACTAGCAGCAACAAGGACAACGACAGCAACAGCAACAACAGCAGCAACATCAACAAGCGCAACACCAACAGCAATCACAACAACAATAACAACAGCAACAACAACAACAACCGCAACAACAACCACAACAACAATCACGACGACGACGACGAAAGCAACATCAGCCACAACCGCAACAATAAACACAACAACAACGACAACAGCAACAATCAGTTTAAGACTGCTCGCACCTATCTGAGCACGTGCCAATCGATACGTATATCTCAAACCTCGTCGTCTTCGATCGTACCCCCTTGGGGGTATATCTTCCTTACCTGCCACGTGCAAGGGAGGAGAGGACGGGTGGAAGGGTGAGGAAGAGAAAAATTAACAGGAGGGGGACAAGGCGCAAAACAAGTGGTAGAACCAGACGGGCAGATCGGGTGGGCAGACCCCTAGCGGGCAAGTCGGGAAGGCGGGCCCAGGCGACCAGGTCGAGCAGGCGGGTTGCTGAAGCGTAGGTCCTGAAAGAATCGCGAGGAAGTCTCGAGCGATAGCGCGAGTCCCAAGTAAATCGTGAGAAAAGCCAAGGCGAGAGCGTGATTCCTGAGCACCGAGGGCGCATCGTCTGAACAAATTGCGAGGGAGTCCCACGCGAGAGCGCGATGCATACATGAATTGTGCGGAACTCCCGCGCGAGAGCGCGATGTGGGAATAAACAATGAGGACGTATCAGGCGGGAGCCGTTGTTGTTGTAATCCGGGGGCCGACAACGTTGCGTAAGCCCCGTGATTCTCCCTAATAAAAACAAGGTGCGACCCTCGGGGAAGAAATTCATTTGAAACAACACAATGGTCACCGGAGGGGGGGATCAACAAAAAACTATTATTTAGCAATGAGAGTTCCAAAACAACAACGACAACAACCGCAGCAGCAGCAGCAGCAACAGCAGCAGCAGCAACAGCAATGGAAGGAGAATGAGTAGAAGGAGGGGGAGAGAAAGGGAGGTATGGAGGGAGGAGGGAGGGAGGAAGGGGGGGGGAGGGAGGGACGGGAAGGAAGGAGGAGCAGGAGATGGAGGGAGGAGGAGGAGGAACCGAGGGAGGCAGGCTCTTCGCAAGGGCCCAGAGGAGCCTCGCCGTCCGCGCCAAGGATAGGGCCACCACGCCGAGGCCCGCGGCGGCCTCCAGCGCGTCAACGGGAGCCCCTCATCCTACTCCTCCTTCTCCTCCTCTTCCTTTTCCTTCTCCTTCTCCTCCGCCTCCTCCTCCTCCTTCTCCTCCTCCTTCTCCTCCTCCTCCTTCTCCTTCTCCTTCTCCTCCGCCTCCTCCTCCTCTTTCTCCTCCTCCTTCTCCTCCTCCCTTCTCCTTCTCCTTCTCCTTCTCCTTCTCCTCCTCCTCCTCTCCTCCTCCTCCGCCTCCACCTCCTCCTCCTCCCTCCTCCTCCTCCTCCTCCTCCTCCTCCTCCTCCTCCTCCTCTCCTCCTCCTCCTCCTCCTCCTCCTCCTCCTCCTCCTCCTCCTCCCTTCTTTCCCTCAACTCTCTCCCCCTCCGCCACCGCCGCCTCCGCCTCCGCCTCCTCCTCCGTCTCCGCCTCCGCCGCTGCCGCCGCCGCAACCGCCTCCTGCTCCTCCTCCTCCTCCTCCTCCTCCTCCTCCTCCTCCTCCCTCCTCCTCCTCCTCCTCCTCCTCTCCTCCTCCTCCTCCTCCTCCTCCTCCTCCTCCTCCTCTCCTCCTCCTCCTCCTCCTCCTCCTCCTCCCCCTCCTCCTCTTGTCATTAGAACCGTTGTGGCTCGAGTTCCTCGTGCTGCAGGCCCCGCCGCCGCGCGTCCTGATGCTGGGTTCGTCCGTGGCTGCCTGCGCTGCTGCGCCGCTGGAGGCCGTGCGTGGCGCGGTCCTGGCGGCGCACGCCGCTGCAGGGCTGCCCAGCAGCGCTGAGGTTCGAGAAGTGGCTCGACTCGCTCGTGCAGCTGAAGGTCTACTCATTACGGAGGTGGCCGTGCCGGCCAGGCCCACCCCTCCCGCGCCCGCTGCGGCGCCCTCGGCTGAGCCCTCGGCGGAGCCCGCGGCTGCCCCTCGGCGGCGGCGTCGGCCTCGTGGCCGCGGTGGCGTGCTGCGCATGGAGGTGGATGGCAAGCAGGGCGTCGCACCTGGAAGTATGGGCGTGGATCATGGGTCGGTTGGGGCAACAACGCAGTGGCGTCGCATAGCTTGGAGACCTCAGTGTGTGAGGCGCTGGATGCAGCGTCGGCAAAGACGGCGGCCAGGCCGCTCTCGTCTTTCACGTGGTCGCCCTGAACCACAACGCGTCCCTTGTACTGTTGTACTTCCGGTGGTAACTCGGCGTGATTGAGAGAAGAGTAGTCCAGGATGTTGGCGAAGTGAACCGCTTTGTACTCCTTCTGAGGGACTGCAGCTCCGATGGCTTCTGCATTTGCCAGGCCGATGCTGGAGGACGACAGCCGGGCTGGCAATCTGCCGCAGGTAGCGGCAGGTCGCCCGCCTTCCAGCACAGCCTCGCGCGCTAGGGCAGGGGCAGGAGCACGGGCAGAAGCGACGAGAGCGGTGGCAAGGGCAGGCATGCCGGATTGGAGATTCGGCAGCCTGAACCGCTCGTCGACCGCCCCCCCTTCGGCCGCGAGGAGCTGGTCGCAATGGCCTGCAGCTTCGAGGAGATGCAGTCCGCGCCAGACCACCCCAACCCAACCCGAAGACCCGAATTTCGCCCGAATTTCGGGATGGGAGGGGTACGGGAGTCGTAGGCTTTTTCTATGTCCCCCCCCCCCCCCCCCCCCCCCCCCCGGAAATTGAGGGCAAATCGGGGCCTTCGGGTTGGGTTGGGGTGGCTCGGTGGGCGGTGACGCACGGCGGCTCCAGCGTGGGCCTCGGCTCTGGCACGCGATAGTCGAGCTGTGTTGGTGCCTGTTCGGCGGGGCGCCGGCTGCCTGTGCCAAATTCTCTCTGCCAGCTGCGTGCCGCAGTGTGCTGACAAGCTGTGTGTGCTTCATCCGCGGCGCAGTCCGAAACTCCTCCTCCACCCTCGCTGCGCTCTCCGCGGCCACCCCTCCGCGCACGGTGAGACCCGGCCCGCCAGTCGAGGGGGGGGGGGGGCGGGCCTCGGCCGGGGGCCCAGCTTCGGGCGGCGGCTCGGCCCTGGCGCGGGAGGGGTGGAGGGCAAGAGAGAGAGAGAAGGGAGAAGAGAGGAGGGAGGGAGGGAGGGAGGGAGGGAGGGTGGGCAAGAGAGGGCAGAGAGACGAGGAGAGGAGAGGAGGGAGGAGAGAAGAGGAGGGAGGGCAAGAGAGAGAAGGGAGGAAAGAGGAGGGAGGGAGGGAGGGTTGGGTGAGTCTTTTTGAAAGCTCATTCCAGCATATACCGCCTCCTCCTCCTCCGCCCCCTACTCTTCCTGGTCCTCCTTCTCGTAGGTCGTTCTTGTTTTGGATTCGCGTCGCAAAAGGGTTCATTCATCCATTCATTCAGTCCTCCTGTTCCGCCTCCTCGTCATCCTCATATATCTCATATTCCCTCTCCTCCTCTTCCCCTTCCCCTCTTCCTCATATATCTCTCCTCCGCCCTCCACCCTCCGTCCTCCCAACTCCTCCCAGCTCCTCCGCCATTCCCCTAAAACACCCAAGACTGTGTTGCCTCTAGCGATCCACACCAGCTGCTTCCGACGGTTCGAAGCCTCTCGCGTGTGACTCTACAGCGTGAAGTGCTATACACGTGCTAAGTGGTGATCCTTGGTGTGATCGTGTGATGGTTCATGTGTTATGCACGTGAGTGGGGTATACGTATGACGCGTACATGCTGGTATGAGGTTGAGTGTGTCATGTGTGTTTGCGCGCGCGTTGCGAGTACGTGTAGTATTAGACGCTGTTGCTGCGTGGTGGATCCAAAGTGTGCCATGCCCTGACGTACGTGGGTGATGAACAATTGCTACTCCTGTGCGGTTAAGAGGTTCACGATTGGCTCAAGCTCGTTCTCCATAACCTGGGTAGACGGCACTGGTGTGTGGTATTGCAAACTGGGCGTGATGTATGCACTGAGCTCTGGTATCCGCGTGCGCAGTCTGGGATTGCTAGTGTGCTGCTCGTGTGCCTTAGAAGGGTGTGGTCGCGATGGTCTGGATGCCTATGAGTGCTGCGTCGGACTGCGGTCTCATGGTGATGCTTCGTGTATGGAATGCTGTGGAATGCACGGCCATGCTGCGTACTGCTGTTGCCGCATGTTGATGCTGTCGTGCTGGCCGTTGCTTCTAGCATATCCCAATGATGTGTGTGGCTGGTGTATGTTAGTGCTGCATATGTGTAGTACTGGTGCCCGTTACCCGCGACTGATGTGGTATTCACATATGCTCTGATTAATTGAGCATTGCATATTTGTCAGATGTGTGATGGGTGTCACGGTGTCTGTAGTGGACGCTTGGCATGTGTGGTCTGGAGCGGATGCATAGTAAGTTGTAAGATGATCGCATGCTGGTTTTGTGTGTGGTGTATGTTGTATGGCATCGGTGTGTGGGATAGATGCGTTGTAGTGATGCCAGGTGCTGATGGTTGGTATCGATGTATGCCATTGATGTACGGTATGCGTGTGTGCGGCTAATGCGTATTGCCGATGCCTATTACTGATATGTGTTGCATGTAGGTGTTTGGTAAACTGACGTATGCCAGTGGTGTATGCTGTTGATGTGCTGTGTTGATGCGTGTCCTTGGCGCATGTGCTCGACGCACGTGACCGGTGCATGCTCTTCCTATGAAATTTGTATAGGTGATTGATGCCTGCTTCTGAAATATGTTCCCAGGAGGAGGAACACGAACGGACATGTCGAGCCTTCCGCCCAAGGACGGCCAAAGGGCCCCCCCGGAGGCTCCCGAGGCCGCCCCAGGACACCCCAAGACGCTCCAAGAGGCCCCCAAGAAGACGCCCCCAGATGCTCCCAAGAGGCCCCCAGAAGTCTCCAAGAGCCCTCCATGAGCCCCCCGAGAGGCAAGAGGCCCCCATATGTGCATCCAGGATGCCTCGGAACCATAGCCCAGGCACGCTGGCTGGATGGGCCGAAGGCCACTAGACATGATCTGGGGGTCTACTCTGGGTGTCCGTGTACGGCGTGACGTCGTGACACCCTGGACGGCACGGCTCCTCTCCGATGAACCCCGGCGAGGCGGGATACTCAGGGACACTCGGGGATTAGTTCGCTCTGGCGGCCGCGGTATCGATGAAAGCACAACACGCCATCAAACCTACAGAGAGGAGGAATGGGGAAGGGCACGGAGATGAAGGCGCTACAGGTATGGGCGCGCGTTGTCGGACCCCGAGGGGGACTCCCACTCGAGCTGGGACCCCCATCCGACGCCACACGCACCGCCGCCACCAGACTCCACGCCCGAGAAGTCCGGGGGTCGCACACAAGCAGGGGTGCCAGCTGTCAGCTCAGGAGGGAAGCATGGCGAGGCGTGGCATCCCCGGGGACCGCCCGGGACTCCTGGGGCCCGGCTGCCGCAGAAGGGATGCCGGGCGGACGAAGAGCACCCCCAGGATGCCCGGGGAGCACCGGGGACACTTGGGGCCTGACGGCCGCGGCACGGTCAGAACTGATAGCGAGGATGCGCGGTGAGGGTGCACAGGGTGATGGGCCTGTTTTCCACCACCACCACCATAAGTTGGAGTGGGGAAGGAGATGGAGGAGGAGGAGGAGGAGGAGGAGGAAGAAGAGGGTGAGGAGGACCCCCTCCCCCCACAACTTATGGTGGTGGTGGTGGTGGTGGAAAACAGGCCCATCACAGGGGGGGGCCTTGGACGCCCGTGCCAAGGCTTCTCGAGCGGCGCTGGCCATCGAAGGTGGTCAAGGATGGGCGGGAGAGGCAAGGATGCCAAGGGCACCTCTGGGAAGGTGACCCAGCCTTTACCATCGGTTTCCACTGCATCCTGGGTGGGCGAGGCGGATCGGGAGCTCCTTCTTAACGATCTCACAGCCCCAAACCTGGGGAAAACAAAAGGACTTCTCCATGGTCGCGTTCTGACCAGCATTTCGATGCGAATCCAGCTGTGGCGACGAGGGCCTCCCAGGAGGCCCAGAAAGGCGCAAACGAGGGGAGGGTAGCAGTATGGGTATGGATATGCTTCCCTCCTACGAAACCTGTCGAGCGGGAACATTTCGGCAAGCCTGCCTGGGGAAGTCCTACCCACGGCACGAAACCTGCACGAGACATGGGGCCACGGGCTCCAGAACCGCCGTAATGTGCGCGCACATACCAGGACGTCGGAAGCCTGGGAGAGACAAGAGAGGGAGAGAGGGAGGGGGAGGAGGAGGGGGAGGAGGAGGAGGAGGAGGAGGAGGAGGAGGAGGAGGAGGAGGAGGAGGAGGAGGAGGAGGAGGAGGAGAAGGAGGAGGAAGGAGGAGGAGGAGCAGGAGGAGCAGGAAGAGGAGAGGCAGGAGGAGCAGGAAGGAGGAGGAGAAGGGCACGAGGAGGGGCAGGACCGGGAAGGGCAGGAGGGGCAGGGGGAGGAAGGACGAGAAGGGAGGAAGGAGCAAGCAGGCAGAGTAGGGAGGCAGAGGAAGAAGCAAGGGAGGCGGAGGAGAAGAGGGACGAGGGAGGGAGCAGAAGACGACGACGACGACGACGACGACGACGACGACGACGACGACGACGACGACGACGACGACGACGACGACGACGACGACGACTGCTCGATCCTGGGGAGCCCGCCGGAGCGGCAGTTGCAATCGGCCCCGCCCGTCGCGTCCACGAAGCGCCTCACGCACACCTGGCGGCCCTTCACCTCTCGGAGGGAGGGCGTCAATCGGCGGCGGGCCCCGGGGGGGGGGGCGGCGAGCCCAGCTGCGCGAGGCCCTCGCTCGAGGTCTCTGGGCGGCTTTGCGCGAGCTCTCGGCAGGCTCTCCGGCCTCGGGATGCGCTCCGGCGGCTGCGCCTCGCCGAGAGCGCTGCGGGGGCGACCGGCTCGTTCCAGACGGCCACGGGGGAGCCGAAGGATGGCCCGAAGACCACCAGGCGTCCGAGCGGTCCGCATCAGATCGGGAGGTTGGATCGGACGGGAGTGCGCGTCGGATCGGGCCGCATCGGGAGGGAGCCGGAATCGAGTCGCATCGGCCGCAACAGGATGCACAACAGCTCCGCGCAAGCTTCGGGCCCTATCGGATCGTCGGCAAATCGGAATCGAGTCGGATCGAGCAAGCCAGAAAAGAGAATCGACGTCGATCAGATCAAATCCGCCGACCCTGTGTCGGCGTGTGTGAGGGGCTTGTCCGTTCCCGTCGTTCGCTCGTCGTCGTCTCCGTCGTCTCCTGTCCCTGCGCCCACCCTTTCCCTGGGCCAGTCGTCTCCTGTCCCTGCGCTCCCCCATTTCCCTGGGCCCGTCTCCCCTCCTCCCCTTTCCCCCTCTTCCCTGGGCCCGTCGCCGCTCCCCCCCGGCTTTTCCAGGGCCTCCCCCTCAGGAGCAACGTTGCCATTGAGTCGAAGGGAAGCCCCTTCCCTTTGATCCCTTCCCTGCCGAAGGGGGGGGGAGGCCGGGGGGTCTCGGGGGGGGTCCCTGGGGGAGTCGAGTCCCGAGGGGGGGGGTCCAGGGGGGTCCCGCGTCAGACACGACTCCCCCCTGGGGGTCCCGGAGCCCACACAAAGTCTCAGACGAGCCAAGAGCCGAGGCATTCTACCACGCACTCTCCTCCCTCCCCCCTCCTCCCTCCATCCTCATCTCTCCTCTTTCCTCTGCCCCCCTCCAGAACCGAACCGGCCGCCTGGACGCTCGGCCACGGGACACCCCAGGACCCAGAATTCCGAGGTCCCAGGGAGCCTCCAGGACCCAGCCCCGAAGACCTCCTCCCAGGACCAGGCACCAGGAGCCAGCCCCCCAAAAAGTCCAGGACTCCCTGGCCTCAGGCCCTGGTCGCCTCGTCCTGCTCCTGTTCGTTTCCCCCCTCTCCTCCAGCCTCCCCCGATGATTGCGCCCAGAAAGACGCAGGGAGCTCCGCTAACTCCGACTCAGAGGTTGTCTCTCTCTCTCTCTCTCTCTCTCTTTCTCTGTCTCTCCACGGACGGGCTCCAGAAACAGCTGCGCAGCTACCCCCGCCTCGACCACAACGTCTAGGCCTAGAAATGCCGCCGCCGCTGCAGAACCTGACTCCACGGCTCCTTCCTCTTCGCCCCCCCTCTTCCGCTCAATAGCATCCTGGGACTTCTCGGAATCAGGAGGTCTCCTAGATGAATATCGGTTCCAAATGTCGTGCCTTGGCCCTGAGTGGGCCGTAGTCGGCCTAGGTTTCTTTCGACTTCAATGTATGATTCGAGTTGGGGAATTTTTCGCCTGGTTTAAGGCTGTCCCCCTCTCGGCGTCTTGGGACCCCGTGGCCTCGCCTCTTTCTCGGCCTCCTTCCTTGGGCCGTTGGGGGCCCTGGTCCTTCCCCTGCTCTTCCCCGCTCTCCCGCGGCCTCGCCTCTTCGGGGTCCCGACTCGCTGGGGGTTAGTTGCTGCTTTTTATCCCCGAGTCGTGCCCCTGACCCTACGGCCCTGCCCTGCCTTCAAAGCACGGGGCTGTCAGCCGTGGTAGGGGGTGGGCGGGAGCACAAGTGCACCGAGTGCCACGCGTGATGAGTATGACACACATCACGGCGCCCTCTAGAAGCGAGCCAACCCTGGAATCGTCTCCCTCAGGTTTCGAATGCCACGAGTCGGTGCAGGATCTGATGACGCGCCTCTGCAGAGTCGTTCGTTCGTTCTCTCCCTCCTCTTCCTCCTCCTCCTCCTCCTCCTCCTCCTCCTCCTCCTCCTCCTCCTCCTCCTCCTCCTCCTCCTCCTGCTCCCCTCCTCCTCCTCCTCCTCCTCCACCTCCTCCTCCGCCACCTCCTCCTCCTCCCCCCTCCTGCTCCCTGACGTCCTCCGCCTCCTGCTCCTCAACGTCCTTGTCCTGCTCGTCGTCTCCGTCTGCAGGGTCGGCGGCACCGGCCGTAAGGCCTTCGCAATCAAATCGGATCGAAGCGATCGGATCGATCGGATCAGGGTCACCAATAGGAAAATCATCAAATCCTCCTGAGAATCGAGGTGCCAGGATCGAAGTTTGAGATTCTTGGACATTCGTGATTGTTTGCGGGGAAGTGTCCTGGAGAGTTCTGCGGTAGGGGCACAGGTCAGAAGAAGGAGACGCGCTGATTTCTTGGATCGGCGCTGGACCCCCCGGGCGACACCCCTGGCGGAGCCCCTGGGGGCGCCTCTTGCGGCGCCTCTTGCGCGCCAGGGCAGGGCAGCGGTGGGGGAGCACGTGACGGGGAGGCAGGGGCAGACCCAGATCTCTGGCGACATGATTCGGTTCCGCCGCGGCGTCTTTGCTCGATTGCGGCCTCCTGGGCCCGTTACAGCCGGACCGAGGACAGAAGAGCATCATTCAAGAGCATGAGACCTTCCGCCGGCCCAAACTGAAGAGCATTCGAGGGTGCCCTCCTCCAGGATGCACAGGAACATCCAACAAGCACGAAGAACACTAGGGCACCCTCCCCGAGCCGACATCGATCTTACACCTCGGTCTGGTCGCATCGAGCTGCAAGATCACCAGTAGTGGATCCGGGACAGAGAACCACCCCCAGGAAAGAAGGCAGGACCAATGGGGCCGCGGGTTGAACAAAAACACATCGGAGGATGCGTGGAGAGGTGGGGCCAGAGGAAAACCGCTCTGAACGGCCCCTGAAGGAGGAAACGTGAGCATCCGGCGGGGCTCGCTCCCTGACCCCCACCTCAGAACACAACCCTTCCTCTACGGACGACCCGAGCCCAGAGGTGTGGTCAGAAGAAAAGGACTCCAATCGCCCCCCAGAGGAAGCAGGTGTGAGCATCCAGCCGGGTTCGCTCCCTAACCCCCACCGTGGGACAGAATCCCCCATCTACCAGCGCCCGAGCCTTGCAGCAGTGCAGCTGGACCTCCCTGGTCGTCAGGCCGTCGCACGCCCAGGAGGCGTACCTCTGCGGCGCAGAAAGGCGGGGCGAATGGCCTGCCAGCGGCCTTCTCAAAAATGGGAGGATGTCAGCAATGCAGGGTGACGAGTGGGCGAAAACACATGCGGAGCGATTGGAACAAATGCTGTCTTAGAAAACGAAAGAACGGCATAAACACAAACGTTTGGCGCTCCGCGCGGATTTCTGGGATCTGCGCTGACCCCCCTCCCTGGAGCGCGAAGCGCGCCACGGGCGGCGCCGGAGGAGGCACCGCCGGGGGGGGCCTGGCGCGGACCCAAGAAATCCGCGCGGAGGGCCAAAAGTTCATGCTTGTGGCGTTTTTCTCTTCTTCGATATTGGACAAGGAAAAGAAAACACATGCGGAACGAGTGGAAGAAAGGCTGCCTGCCGCAGGGAAAACTAAGGCAGAGGGAGAGACTCTGTACAGGACGATCAAAGAACCCCAATGGCGGCGCCGATGCCAAAGAGCAGGTCTGGAACCGCATGTGTCAATCGCCGCCCAGGGCGCTGCCGCGTGACGGCCGCCCTCGGCAGTCTCTTGACCGTCGCCCTGCGCCAGAGGAACAAAGCCACTGCACCAAGACGAAGCCAGGACGAGGACAAAATCGGGCGAGGATAAACCGAGAAACCCCCTCTCCCCCCCCTCTGCGCAGTGGCACAAAGCTCGCTCACTCGTCGTGCACGTCCTTCACATCATGCATGCAGGTCGCACTGCTATTGATTTTCCACATCGTGCCCGTCCCGTTCACGGGCCAACCTGTTGGTTTGACCGGGCCTCCGCCCGAGGATAAAACGAGAATCTCTGAGATCCGGCGGCTCTGGAGGATGTATCGGCCGCCGCGGCCTTCTCAGAGCGTTCCAGAACGCTCTGAGAGAGTTCCAGAAGGCTCTGGAATAGAATATCCTCGTCCTAGCCCCGTCCGATGCACGAGCACAACCTCCTGGAGGACCGCGCGGACTTTTTGACTCGGCGCCGGACACCCTCCCAGAAGAGCGGTGGGGGCGGCTCCGGCGGCCCCGCAGGGAAAGCCCGACGCCGACCCATGGAATCCGCGCGGACCTCCGAGAGGCTATGCCTATGCCGCTCTTTGCTTTTCGGGTCAGCTATCCACCTCACCGATCCTCGCCAGGCATGGATCGGTTCATGACGCAGTTCTGGCCTGGCCAGGGAGGTAAAGTCACCGACCCTAGGTCCAGGATCGGCCCAGCCAAAATGCGCGATGTGGATACAGTCGAGCTTGATTGCAGAGGACACGCGAGAAGACACGAGACCCTTCCGAGAGTCACTGCCCCAGGAATGCAGACACGAGACGCGAGGCACAGGGCAACAAGGGCACCCTCGATTTGAAAACATCGACCCACTGATCGAGCCCAACTTAGACGAGCGCGTTCCACTACTCGCAGAGTGACTACTCGCAAATGGCCTGGACCCGCCGCGGGGGATCTACGATAAACTACGTCGAAGCAGACATGTGCTTTTCGGACGTTTGCGAGTAGGCGCTTTGCGAGTAGTGGAACGCGCTCGGTGACAACTGTGGCTCACGTCCCAGAGCCAGACTCCTCCGACAGGGCTCCCGATTCCCAAAAGCCCCTGAAGCCCAGGAGCACTCCATTGGATCTTGGATGGGTGTCTGTGTACTTTTTGTGTGGCAGAAAAGAGAGCAGAGCGACAACCAGAGCTACCTGAGCAAAGACTGCCGGAGGGCCCGCGCGCAGCTCTCGGACCGGCGCTGGGCTCCCCTCCCCGAAGCACGCGAGGGGCGGCGTCCGAGGCGCCGCCAGAGGAGGGGTCCTCCTGATAGTCCTCCTCCTCCTCCTCCTCCTCCTCCCCTCCTCCTCCTCCTCCTCCTCCTCCTCCTCCTCCTCCTCCTCCTCCTCCTCCCTCCTCCTCCTCCTCCTCCTCTCCTCCTCCTCCACCTCCCCTCCTCCTCCTCCTCCTTCCTCCTCCTCCTCCTCCTCCTCCTCCTCCTCCTCCTCCTCCTCCTCCTCCTCCTCCTCTCCTCCTCCTCCTCCTCCTCCTCCTCCTCCTCCTCCTCCTCCTCCTCCTCCTCCTCCTCCTCCTCCTCCTCCTCCTCCTCCTCCTCCTCCTCCTCCTCCTCCTCCTCCTCCTCCTCCTCCTCCTCCTCCTCCTCCTCCTCCTCCTCCTCCTCTCCTCCTCTCCTCCTCCTCCTCCTCCTCCTCCTCCTCCTCCTCCTCCTCCTCCTCCTCCTCCTCCGCCTCCTCCTCCTCCTCCTCCTCCTCCTCCTCCTCCTCCTCCTCCCACCTCCTCCTCCTCCTCCTCCTCCTCCTCCTCCTCCTCCTCCTCCTCCTCCTCCTCCTCCTCCACCTCCTCTCCTCCTCCTCCTCCTCCTCCTCCTCCTCCTCCTCCTCCTCCTCCTCCTCCTCCTCCTCCTCCTCCACTCCTCCTCCTCCTCCTCCTCCTCCTCCTCCTCCCCTCCTCCTCCTCCTCCTCCTCCTCCCTCCTCCTCCTCTCTCCTCCTCCTCCTCCTCCTCCTCCTCCTCCTCCTCCTCCTCCTCCTCCTCCTCCTCCTCCCCTCCTCCTCCTCCTCCTCCTCCGAACGTGGGTCCTGAGTGACACGTGCCCTGGACCCTGGGTATTTTTCCCCGCAGGGTCAGCATTCTCACCCTGAATATCATCTTGGCGGGCCCCTGGACTGTGAAGGAGCCCCCAGGAGGCCGAAAATCGCACCAGGAGGCGGCGCGAGGGGGGCGGCATTCTGAGGAGACAAACGGCGTCTTAGAAGAAAGGCGAGCTTCTCAGAAGAGAGCCGAGGGATCTGAGAAGGACTCATAAAAGCAGGGAGGGCTCCTGAGAAGCCCCCCCCGCCCCCCCCTTCTCAGAGGCCCCCCGCCTTGAAGGCCGCCTCCCCCCCCCGCGCCACGCCCCAACCCGAATCCGCTCAAAACGGGTGCTCGGACCCCGCCAGGGGCCTTTTCCGGTCAGTGTTCCGAGCGGCGGCCAGCCGTGGCCACGGGAGCGCTCCCAGAGGGCCCAAAACGTCCATCCTGTTTTCTCTATCATTCGACCCCTCTTGGCGCGCACTGCCAACATTGCCAAGGACAGGTTGTTGCCCTCCCAAAAACACTTGTTCAGCGGCCCGGCAAGAACTCTCCAAGGGCCGAAAACGCCTGCGGACGGCGGGTCAAATGGCAGTCGTCCTGATTATGCCCAAGATGTCGGAGATCTGGGCTCACGACCCCCCTGGGGCGACGAGACCTGTACACATCCACCGCCCGCCGCCATGCCCATCCTGGGCCCGCGCGCGGTGTCAACGCCCCCCCCCTTGCTTCCCCAGGGAAGCACGCAACTACCTCGATATCCTTGTTCGCCCCCCTGGCTTGTCCAGTCCAGGGGCGCATGTAACTACGTCGATTCTGGGCCTGGGATAGGCCTGGCCAGGGGCGGTGAGCATGTGCAGATATATACATATACTAGAACCACGCGCGCGCTTCGCGCGCGCTTAGGTTCTAGCTAGGAGGCGAGCTTGAGTCAACGAAAGTCGCAGGGAAGGGGGCAGGGGGAAGAAGGCCAGAGAGCGCTGAAGGATACAAATACTGGAACCCTCTTGTGATTTTGTGGGGGGCCTCGTCCGGCCGCTCGCTGGGAGTTTGACGTAGCTTCTCGGGAGCCTCTGAACCTGTCGGGGGCCTCCTGGAAGCAGGTTCGAAGCATTTTGGGGGCCGATTTGGGGCTTCTCGGGGCCTCCTTTGGGCCTCTTGGGGGTCTCCTGGGGCCTCTTGAGGGGCCTCCTTGGGGCCTCCTGGCGGCCTCTTGGGGCGGAAGGCTCGAGCTTGCGGTTCGTGGTCCCCCTCTGGGCCCCCTCTTGGGCCCGTCTTGGGGCCCTCTTGGGCCATCTTGGGCGCCTCTTGGGCCGTCTTGGGGCCCTCTTGGGCTGTTCTGGGGCCCTCTTGGAAGCTTCTTGGCTCTCGAAGTCGTCTTGGGGTTCTCTTGGGCCGTCTTGGGGCCGTCCTGAGCCACTCGTGCGCAGCCTTGGAGCGCTCCCCGAGGCCTCCTAGGCCGTCTTGGAGGCCTCTTGGGCCGTCTTGGACGCGGTGAAAGCCCAAGATGCGAACATGCGAAAAATATACGTTTTCCCATAGGAATGGCACGATTTTTGTTTCTTGGACCTCTCTTGGGGTGCCTCTCGGAACGTCTTGGGGTGCTTTGGGGAGCCTTTTGGCGCCTCTTGGCGGCATTTTGGCGCCTCCTGGAGCCTCTTGGGCCGGAAGCTCGGAATTCGAGGTTGGCTTTCTCCGTCTGGGACCCCTCTCGAACTCGTCTTGGGGCTCTCTTCGGCCGTCTTGGGGCCGTCCTGGGCCACTCGTGCGCAGCCTTGGAGCGCTCCCGGAGGCCTCGTAGACCGTCTTGGGCGCCTCTTGGGCCGTCTTGGACGCGGTGAAAGCCCAAGAGGCGAACATGCGAAAAATATACGTTTTCCCATAGGAATGGCACGATTTTTGCTTCTTGGGCCTCTCTTGGGCTGCCTCTCGGAGCGTCTTGGAGGCTTCTGGGACCTTCTTGGTGTCATGACAGGCGTCTTGGAAGGCATCTGGAGCCATCGGAGCGCGTTCCGAAGCCGCCTGCGAACGATCTTGGACGGCGTCCGGCGGTCCGACGAGCCTCCGGGCCCCCCGGGGCCCACATTTGTGGTCGGGGTCCCGGCCCCGGGCCCCCGGACCCGGTGCGCCGTTATATGTATACATCTACATATGTATACACATATTATATATATATATATCAAGAGTATACATTTATATATATATAGAGAGAGAGAAAGACAAAAAAAGAGAGAGATACGCAAGATGTTAAGGATAGCTGCGCTTCGCCTTCGCACATACATGTTTCATTGACTCTGCGGTCAGCATGTTGATGTAGCCGCAATGTTGCTACAACCCATCCCCGAACCTGACGTCGGGGAGGCTTACCTGGCGCAGCCCCGATTGGCAACGGACCCGACGCGTTTCGTCCAAAAGCCCCCGTTTCAGCACTCGCCCAGCATGAAGGGAAGGCAGCTGCGGTCGTCAGTTGTCTCGCGCTGGAGGTGGCACTCGCAAAAGGCGGATGTAGCCGAGGCTCAGACGAGAGCACCATTCTCTCTCACGAATGCGGCCGTCGCTGAGGCGGTAGCACGTATCTTGGAAATGGATGTGGCTGGCGCTTGGGAGGAGCACCATTCTCCCATGAGGGCCGTGGGAACCGTGCGAGTGGAGCGGCATCACAATAGTTAATCAGGGATGTGGCTGGCGCTGCGGAAAGAGTACCACACTCCATGAAGGATTTGGCCAGCGCGAAGACGGCAGCATGACACCCAGACAGGGATGTGGCCAGCGCTCAGGCAAGAGCGCCAGTTCCAACCAGGAATGGGGCCTGGGCACGACTGGCAGCATCATCTGCAATGAGGGGTGTGGCCGGCTCTGAGGCGACCCGCTCATATTGGAGAGTGTGGCCAGTGCCGGGGCAGCTGCGCCAATCCTGGATCAGGATGCGGCCACGGATGGGCGAGAGCACCATTGCCGAAGTATTGCAAACCGCGCCAGCGAAGCGGCAGCGTCATGCTGAATGAGGGATGTGGCTGGCGCCGCGGCGAGAGCACCTGTCCCACTGAAATCCGTCCTCTTCCTTCTGCGTGTCGCCCACCTCCTCCTCCTCTCCTTTCTCCGTTTCTTTTGCCCCCTCCGCCTGCCCTTCCTGAACCTCTCCTTTTCTGCCGGCCAAGGATGACGAGGAGGAGGTGGAGAACGAGGAAGCAGCTTGAAGGGAAACTGAGCATCAGATTTTGATTCCCAAGGGCCCATAGGAGGGCAGGGTTCACATTGCGTCCCCTCGCCAATTTCGACACGCCCCTCACACGGATCGTGCCTCCTTGGATATATATATATATATATATATATGATATATATATATATATATATTATATATATGTATGTGTGTTATATATACTTATGTGTATATATATATATATATATATATATATGTGTGTGCGTATGTATGCAATTGCGTAGGTGTGCATGTGTGCATCCTGGATTGTATATGTACACACGATAAGGCAACAAAAACAAAGCAACAAAAAGCAGCGCCAGCAAAAACAAGACAGCACAACAAACACGTATGTATGTGACGGTCGCCCAGCACCCTCCATCACAGCGACTTCTGCTCCCCGCCGGGCACCCCGCGCCGCCCACGGGAGTGGTGCCTGGGGGGCAGAGCTCCTGGAGGGAAGGCCAGAACAAAACCGCTCGGGGGGGGCTGAAGGTGCCCCTGGCCCAAGGTGCCCCCAGCTTCTCGCTCCAGTTTGGAGCCCCCTGGGGCTCTCTGGGCCTCGTGAGGGGTGCTCTGGAGGCCGTGAGGGGCCTCCGTGGAAATCCTGGGGGCACCTTGGAAATCCAAGGGCACTTCTGGCAACACCCGAACCAGCCGCTGCGCACACCAGAAAGAGAGGAGGAGGAGGAGGAGGAGGAGGAGGAGGAGGAGGAGGAGGAGGAGGAGGAGGGAGGAGGAGGAGGAGTGGGGGAGGGAGGAGGGGGAGGAGGGAGGAGGAGGAGGAGGAGGCCGAGTCGGGGGCGCTCGGGGCAGCGGCGACGGCCTGGGCGGGCGGAGCGCACACGAGGGCCGCCCGTGTCCTCTCGCCCCGGATCGGCAGCTCGGGTCGAAGCTGAACTGGGGGAACTATCTTCGCGCTTCCGCGCTCCGCGAAGCGCGAAGCGCGACTCTCGTCGCGCTTGCGCGCCGCCCCCCCCCCCCGGAACCGGATGAGGGACTCGCGCTTCGCTCAGAAATCGCCCAGACCGCGAAGCGCGAGGCGCGACGAACTTCGCACCTTCATGGTGGCCCTAGCCAACTGTGCATCGGACTGGGCTGCACCGGCAAGGAATCGACATCGAATTGGATCGGGGACGCCAGGAGGCATGCAAGAGCTATGCAAGCGCATGGCATCGTCGGATCGCCCTAAAATCGGAATCGAGTCGGATCGGGCCCCCGAATCCGATATCAAATCGGATCGATCCAATCGAAACGGAACCTGGAGGGCAGCTGGCCCCCTGCCAGCCCAGGCCGCGAGGTCAGCGGGGGCGTGAGCAGATTTTCGCGCCCCTTCGGGTTGCCCGTGGCTCCCTCTCGGCGGAGCGCCCAAAGGGGGGCCGCCGTGGAAAATCAAGGGGGCGGGGGAGCCTCTAGAGGGGCCTTGCTGCCTCTGGGAGCCCTCTCCCGAGGAGGCTTTTCTGATTCTTAGGGGACCCTCCTGCTTCTGTGGGGGAAGGGGCTTCTCGGAGGCCCTCCCTGCTTCTCGGAGCCCTTCTTCCCGGAGGCTTCCAGGTCCTTCTGAGAGTCCTGCCTTCTGAGAAGCCCCCCCGCCTGCTCGGAAGGCGCCCCCCTCGTGCAACCCCTCGTGCGAGCCGCCAGTGCATCTCAGCAAAAAGCCTCGCGGAAGCCTCACAAAAGCCAGAGCCCATCGCGCCGTGAACGGAGGATGACGGAAGGGCTGCGGCCGCCTTCGGCTTCCTGGGGCCCTCACTGGGCCCTGGCACCGTAAAAAATCAATGCTCTGGATGGCACAATTGACCCCAGGGAAGGGGATGAGTTCTCCTGGGGGCCCACGCTGTGACTACGTGGACCCCAGGAGGTCTTGGCGCATTCCCTTGGACTGGCGTTTCATCCCGACACGTTTTTACTGACGGCCCCCAGAGCCGGCGTGGGACCCCAGAGGCCGAGATGAATGAGACATTTACGCATCTGAATTACGACCCGAACCCTAGACTCGGACCCAATCTTTCTGCGATCTTTCTTGAGCAAGATCCGAATGTGAGGGCCACGGAGCCCAGAACAGAGCGGAAACTGAGAAGAAGGTAGGATGAGGACATATTCGGACGCGGGCAAATCGGAAATCTCTGAGAGTCAGCGCCAGGGCCATTCCAAAGGGTTCAGGAACTCCCTGGAACGAACGCTTCGGAGCGATTCTGACCAAGGTCAATCCAAACCCGGGTCAATCGGGCTTTGCAGAATCCTGCAAAATCCTGCAGAGTCCTGCATGATCAGGATCCTGCGCGCTAACCTGGGTCAGTGCAACCTTTTGCAGGATCCTGCAAGATCCAGCGCTCTGGCTGATCACCGTTTACATTGGCCCCCGTCTCAAGGCTCCCGAGCGATGCGTCCTCAACCCAAGCCTGCCGGCAAAACGCCCAGACCGAACAGAAATGCAGGGGCCCCCAGATGCCGAGAATTGCCTGCTCGTGTTTTTTCCCCTGATACGGCTCGACTTAAACGGTGATTTTCGTGTTCGTGTTGCTCCCGTTTTCCCTCGGTTTGTCTTCGATCCTCCATCGCTGCAAAACGGAAACAAAACCAAAAACGGCCCACGAATTCGCAAAAACTCTGTTCAGGTCGAGCCCTGGCCGTAACAGCAATCAAAAAAATAGCCTGAGGCGTCCTCACAATTCATTCAGGATTCGCGCACTCGCCTCAATGCTGAAGGCTGAAAGGTGCGCAGGCAAGATGCCTCGCTGCGACGCGTCTGGCCCGAGTTACGAGGCGGTCTCCTCTTCGGGGAGAGACCAAAGCTCGGCAGCCTCGGCCTTAGCGAGCTGCGCTCTCGCCTCCGCGCCAGCCACAAGTTTGACCTGGACGGCCACGACACCCTTGCACAAAAGCGCACCGAGGGCGGACATGGCCGTGCGTTTCCCAGGCGCCTCCCTGGGAATGCCCAGGAATGCATGCTCTCACTGGCCAACCTCCTCTACAGTCGGACCTAGGCCGGAAGAACAGCCCTCAAGAAAATGTGACCCTCCGTCGGCCAGAACGAACAGAACATCCCAGGGCACCCTCCGCAGGATGCACCAGAACACCAAGCAAACACGAAGAACACTATGGGGCACCCTCCCCGAACCGACCTCGACCTTACACCTCGGTCCGACTGCACTCCTCGACACGCCTCTGCACCCCTGCTGCCGCGAGAGTGCCCTGGCGGGGTGATTCCACTCGGCGCCTCGACCCCCTCGGGGCGGCGAGGGGCTCAGGACACGGCGCCCGGGCACAGGCCGGGCCAGGAGGCCACATCGCCGCCCCGCCGTGCTGCCCGTTCGGCGGGGGGGGAGGCCACCTGCCGACATGGGCTACGGAGAGGCACGGGTCTCACGCGAGAAGACACGGCGGCCTTGCGCGGTGGCCGACGCGGGCCGCCAGCGCGGCACGCCACACTGGGAACGACGGCGCTTACGCGCGACCTTACGCGGACAGCTTACGCGCGAATGTCCGCGCAGTCGAACCCGTTTTTTCTGCGTCGCGCAAGTGGAGAGGAGAGGGAGCAGGAGGAGGAGGAGGAGGAGGAGGAGGAGGACATCGAGAAGGAGGGGCAGGGAGAGGAGCCGGAGGAGGGGGAAGAGCAGGAGGAGCAGGAGGAGCATGTCTGGGTGTTCTCTCGTCACCCCCCAGGCTCCGCGCGCCCCGGCGGGGTGCTGTGCAGCCACCGCACGGCCGTGCCGTCCACCCCCTTGCACTTGACGTTCAGCAGGGGCTGCCATATGTCCCTCTCTGGCGGCACGCCCCGAAAGGGTCGAGGACCGAGGGCCGGGAAACGGGTTGGGGCGTTTAGGGGCCCTCTGGGGGCGCCATCGTGGCCACGGCTGGACGCGGCTCGCAAAACTGGGCAGGATGGACCCTGGGAGTCCAGAGACCCGTTTCGAGCGGATTTGGGACTGGGCGTGGCGCGAGCGGAGCGGCCTTCTGAGCAGGCGGGGGGGGCTTCTTGGACGGAGCAGGCCCTCTGGGAGGGTCCTGGAGGCGTCTGAGAAGGCCACTTGGAAGTCGTGGAGGCTCTTCGAAGGGCCTGGCGGGCGGCGTCTGCTTGGAAGTTGGGGAGGCCTCGTAGAAGCCCCCTTGTCTTCTCCGTCGAAGCTACCCCGCTCCCTAGAAGGCCGCCCCCCTCGCGCCACACCCTGGTGAGCGCCGCCAACCTCTTCTTCAGCGCGTCGAACGCGAGGGGGGACGGCACCATGTGGCCGTACCTTGAAGAAGATAAAACGGCGCAGCCATCAACGTTCGGAGGTCCGCGCGAACCTCCTGGGTTGGCGCTGGAGACTCCTTACCGTCGTGCTCGCGGCGCCAGGGGCGCCGCTGGAGGGGTCTCGCTCCAATCCAAGAAATCCGCGTGACCTCCGAAAATGTTGTCCCCCCCGACGTCGTGACTTCTTCACAGCGTGATCCCCCAAAAGTCTCGACCACTTCCCTGGGACGGTTTTTCATCCCGAGTCGTTCTCTGACGGTCCTGGGGCCCGGGATCAAAAACAGAAACGCCGAAAAGTGCGAAAATAAGTTGATATCTACTTGTTCAAGCCGTTGGGGGCCTGGGCTTGCTTCTTCGTAATCGGATGTTACATGCTCAGATGTTTTTGAGTGTGGCCCCCCTTCTAGTATGATAAGCATTACTGACATCTATGCTGTTGGGAAAGTATTACGATTACTATCCGAGCAAAGTGTATGACTACCACCACCAAGATCGAGAATAATATACGATGCGATTTGCTGTAGTGTTGCTCTGGTGAAAAGCCCGCAGTCCCTCTCCCGCCGCCAACGGCAAACGAGCTGCCCCCTCCCTCTCAAGGACCGAAACAGAATTCATCAAAGCACGCGCGGTGGTGGTGTATAAAATTTTGGTTGCCAAGAGGCGCGATTCTTATACACCACCACCAAGAAGTGATGTTTCTGCTCCCGGAACTCCCCATGCCACGGCGCCTGCGAGCTGCGCCGCGCTCCTTATCGCCGTGGCGTCGCAGCGTCGTCTGGCATGACCCTGCCCCTACCCCTTTTTGCGGTAAATTACTGTTACGGGCGGTGGAGGTGTATAGAAATTGGCCTCGCATACTATGATTACTCTCCTTCGGATACCCCGCCGCGTCCAGCGCTGCCATCTGCTCCTTCGACCCCGTCGTGGTCGGACCGCGCACCACCCGGATCTGCTGGGCCTCTTCGTCGAACTCCGACAGCACGTCGCCGCAGACCTCGTTGACGGCCTGGCCCTTTGTGCCCTCGCCCCTGATGAGAGAAACCAAAAACGACCAAGAGAAAAAATGGCCCCACAAATGCTGGCCTCGTAACAAATCACAACTGGAGATGTTGTCCGTTCTCGGCCTCCAAGACCTCGCGCTGGGCCCCAGGATCGCGAAAAAAAATACTCGGGGTGAAAACACGTTTCCGAGGATGGGGTCCCGACTTCTGGGGGAACACGTTGTGAATAAATAACGACGTCGGGGTCTGGGGCTGCATAAACAGAAACTTTCTGAAGTCCGCGCGGAGTTCTTCGACAGGCGCAAGACGCCCCTCCTTGGCGCGCGCACGGGGCGTGCCAGGGGCGGCGCGAGGCGCCGCCAGGCGGGGGCCCAGCGCCGACCCAAAAAATCCGCGCGGAGCTCCGAAAGTATAGATTTATGCTGTTGTTCCTTCTTCGCCTGAGCTCTATGCGAGGTTTCCTGCAGCAGAACTTCGGGGCCTCGACCATGAAATCCGCCGGCCACATCGGGTTCGCCGCGGCAGTGTGAGACGACCATGTGCCAGGAGGGAGTCGCCAGCTGCGCACCGCTACGAAGTCCCTGGCCAGGCCAGCCCAGAGCCCAGGAGTCGGTGCCCGTTACACCTGATGCCTTGTTTTCTCAGATACGGGTGGGGAAAAGAAATCGCACTACCGACACTACCTAGAGGGCGGAGGCAGAGGTGGTGGTGGTGGTGGTGGTGGTGGTGGTGGTGGTGGTGGTGGTGGTGGTGGTGGTGGTGGTGGTGGTGGTGGTGGTGGTGGTGGTGGTGGTGGTGGTGGTGGTGGTGGTGGTGGTGGTGGTGGTGGTGGTGCGGTGGTGGTGGTGGTGGTGGTGGTGGCGGTGGTGGTGGTGGTGTATACCGTTTCGGGCGCTCTCGCGAGACATCATGCACACCTGCATCCCGCAGATCAGCTCATCCTGCACCTCCCGCCAGGTAAAGGGGGTGGCGGTGGTGCCCTCCCTGTTCCCAGCACGGGGTTCCTTGGAAGTCCTGCCCGTTCCGTGAGGCCGGCTTCTCATCCTGGGTCGTGTCTTGACGGTCCTGGGGCCCGATAAGGGACCCCCCGAGGCCGGAAGCGGGGAAACAAACGCAGATACGATGGCATACGCAAGACGTAACATCCGCAATTGCAGCTGCTGTTGCGCAGTACGATGGAATCTCTAAAATCTGGGTGTGCACGGCTTCCCGGGGCGGCTGTGCCGGTCCTGGGCCTGGGATCGGCCCGGCTGGGGCCGGCGTCGCTGTATACAGATACTCAGCGTCCCGCCCCCCAGGGAGGCACGCGCGACGCCTTGGCGCGCGGTGGTGCAAAGTGTTCATTGCAGCATGCCGAACGACCTCAGCCCCGCGCCTGGAGGTGCCCCAGGTGCAAGCCCGAAACCGCTTTGCGGGTGGGGTCGTGGGGCTCGTGGGGGAGGAGGCGGAGGAGAAAGAGGAGGAGGAGGAGGAGGAGGACGAAGAGGAGGAGGAGGAGGAGGAGGAGGAGGAGGAGGAGGAGGAGTAGGAGGCGGAGGAGGAGGACAGGACGACGGCGACGATGACGATGACGACGCTCGTGGGAGACCAAAGGGTGCCTCATTTCACTCGTTCGCTCCGAAAAAGCGGCTTCTCCGTAGGGGAGGGTGCCACAACGGCAAGGGCCCACCCCAGGATGGCCAGAAGACGTCCCCAGGGACCGCCTCAAGAGACCCTCCAGCAGGAGGCTGGCCCCAAGAGGCCCGAATGGCTGCGAGAGGACCCAAGCGAGCCCCAGGGATGGCCCCAAAGAGCCCCCCTCTCCTCATTTTCGTCTTCGCCCTGTCTTCCGTCACGCCCTCGCGCCGAGGCACGCGGGCCCACCCAAGGATGGCCCGAAGATGCCCCCGAGGACAGCCCCATGAGGCCCTCCAACAGAGAAGGCCCCAAAAGGCCTAAACGAGCTACGAAGAAAAGAAACGGGTCTCACGCGAGACGGCATGGCGACCTTTCACGGTGGTTTACGCGGGCCGACTGCGTGGCACTCCACATTGCAAACGACGGCGCCTACGCGCGACCTGACGCGGGCGGTTTACGCACCATCGTCGGCGATGACGACCCCGTTTTCCTCCGTCGCCCAAACGGTCCCGAGAGGACCCGAGAGAGCCACAGATGGCCCCCGAAGAACCCGGGGATGGCCCCAAGGAGAGGGCCCCCCTTTTCCTCGCTCTCGTCCCCACCCTGTCTCTCGCCGCTCCCTCACGCTCGAGACGGGGACACGCGGGCACGCGGGCAAATTCTCGCCGAGTGTCCGAGAGAAACACGACACCCGAAGAAACTATCGCAGGTCCGCGCACACTGCTTGGATCGGCGCGCCGGACCCCCCTGGCATCGCCTCCGGCGCGGCCCCTGGCGCAGACCCACAAAATCCGCGCGAACGTTTATGCTGTTCTTACTTTCGATGTGTTACAGTCAACCAGTATCGTAAGGATACGCGATAAGGATGCAAGGGCCTTGGACGCCCATTTCGAAGCTTTTCGAGCGGGGCGCAGCGAAAGCAGCGAAGGATGGACCGAGGAGCCAAGGATGCAAGGGTACCCTTGGGAAGGCTGCCCATCCTTACTATGCGGGTTTACTGTACTTGCGGCGTCCGTCCTCCCCGCCCCCCCATCGAATCCAAATAGACCCATCGCGTCCGACACCGTGCCACTGACGCGGTGCCGGAACGCGGGGCACGCCAGGGGCGGCCCTCGAGGCATCGCCGGGGGGCCCCCGCGCCGATCCGAGAGACCCGCGCGGACGTCGAAAGTTTATGCTTACGCAGCTTTGTTCTATTCGAGAAGATAGAGGGCCACATGCGAACCCTACCCCTACCCCTCAGAAATCGCGGGGGGTAGGGGTAGAGTTCGCATGCGGCCCCCTAGAAGAGGGTGTCCTCAAGGTTCCAGCCGTCGCGTTTTCTGGCAACGCCCGAGCTGACGGCCCCGCGGCGGGGGAGGAGAGCGGGCGGGCGGGCGGGCGCGCGCAGGAGCGCCTCGGATACGAGCCCGCGTCGCACTTGAGGTTGCCCCCCG